GGAGTGACAAAGGAGAGGCAGTAAAGCAGAGTAGACTAAGGGAGGTCAGGGAAGACAGAAGTGAAGGTCCTTGAGCTATTTTGAAGAATAAGTTTGAGTTAGCGATATGTGTAACAGCTGAGATGGGAAAGCAACATGTGCAGTCAGGAGAGAATAATTTTGGCATGATGTTAGAGACTGTCTTAGAGCATAGTGTAGTGGACACTGGTGTAGAGGGTGCTGTGGGGTTTAGCCCAGACTCCCCTTTGGGATTGAAACACACATTCTCCCAGCCGCTGGGAGTGTTGATGGCTATAAGATCTTAGCGGAACCCCTTTTTGGAATTGTCTCAACCCAAAGGAGCTGCCTTGTCCATTCTCATGCCGCTTCCCCTGGGACAGTATGCATCAAGACACAGAGGTATAAAGGACAGCTCCCTTTACGGCAAGGTGGGCAATTCTGAACATCCATCCTATTTCAAGAGCTCCCAGTACTATCTCCTGAAGTCTCTGCTTCTGAAGTCTTGCAGCTGTACCACCGTCCAACTTCTCCCTCTGTCTAATCTTGCTCACCACACCTGTCACAGCTGGTGTTCCATGGCACATGACATAAGAAGGGATCGAGGGGCGGCCAGTTAGTTCAGGTGGATAGAGCACAGGCTGATAACACCATGGTTGCTGGTTCGATTCCCACATGGGCCGTGGAGCTGCGCCCTCCACACACAACTAGACTTAAAACAACCACTCGACTTGGAGTCAGGGCAGCCGGTTAGCTCAGGTAATTAGTGCACATTGCTCATAACACCAAGGTTGCTGGTTCGATCCCCACATGGGCCAAGGAGCTGTGCCCTCCACAACTCTATTGAAGACAGCTACTTGACTTGGAGCTGATGGGTCCTGGAAAAACACACTGTTCCCCAATAACATTTCTATAAAAAAAACACACGAAGGGATCGAAAAGCTCAGAGAAGTGAGTATGCTCAAATGGAAATCCTACATGAGGCTGGCAGACTTATCAGCTTAACATGTTGTGCAGGAGGCCCTGGTGGACACCCCATTTACGTAAGTGATCAGGAATATGCTGGTTGGACAGGCTCTGGCATCACTGAGAAACTCAGTGGTGGCTGATGGTAGGGGATGCTGTTAGAAAGCTGGATTTACCGATAGCAGTGAAGATGATAGAATTCCAAGTGACAGAGCCTAGGCGGTGACACTCGAATAAGCGATGATATTTCTATAGTGAGTGGCAAGATGAGAACGTCAGCTTGGTGGGGAAGGAAGTTACAGAGATAGTTAATAGAATACAGTGGCCCTAGGGGCAAAATAGATGGAGGGCCAACAAGAGTATTGCTCAGTCTACACAATCAAAAGAAATAAAGAAAGGATGATCACAGGGCTGAGTTCAGCCAACTCCTTTGCCCCGTCTCCAGATCTGGAGCCCTGAAGGAAATGCCAGGTACACAGCAGAAACTGAAAGAGGAGGAAAAAAAGGTCGTCTTGGTTCATGTATGGGTCAGCTCAAAATGGGATGTGCAAGTGAAAAATGGGCTGTGGCTGCATTGTAGTCCCATTCAGGGAAGGCCTCACTGGGGCCATAGTGAGAAGAAACCAATGAGCAGAGTGCCTAATGGTGTACCTGCTCATCTGTTTTGTGTGGTGATAGAAGTGGTGTAAGATAGTAAATAGATACGAAGTCATGGGTAGTGGTGAATGGGTTGGTTGGTTGATCAGGGGCCTGGAAAGAAAAATATTAGCTAGGACACAAAATGCTCAGAAGGAGAGGCATGTGTATGGCTATGAAATGAAGTACAAAGAGTAACTTCTCTGTATCACATGTTCAACCCTCCAGAAAGCAGCCACCATAGAAGAAACAGTAAAGAACTATTGGGTCTCTGGAAAAGTCATGACGTATTTTGTGTATGTTTTTCAAAGGTCATTTATTTATATAGAGAACAAAGATCAATCAATGATATATTGCCCGTTTTGTTCGATAACCTTTTGCCATCTTTCAGTGAGCTTCATAATTCCTCGTTCATAGAAAGACCTGTCTTTATTTGCGAAAAACTGAACAAGGTGCTGATTTATAGCCTCATTTGAATTGAACGTTATACCACGCAAGGAGTTTCGAAGAGAGCGAAACAAGTGGCAGTCTGACGGCGCAAGGTCAGGTGAGTATGGTGGGTGTGGCAACACATCCCATCCAAGCTCCAATAATTTTTGACGGGTGATCAGACTTGTGTGTGGTCTTACGTTGTCGCAATGGAACACAACTCCTTTACAATTAACAAGCTCTGGACATTTCTGGTTGATGGATTTGTTCAAACAGCCCAATTGCCGACAGTACACATTGGAATTGATTGTTTGGTTCCTTGGTAGGAGCTTGAAAAACATGACACCTTTAAAATCCCACCACACAGAGCATAACCTTCCTCTGATGAATGTCTGCTTTCGATGTCATTTGAAGCGAATCATCACATTGGAACCAAGATCGTTTGCACACCACACTGTTGTAAACAATCCGCTTCTCATCACCAGTTTTCAGTCGCTTCAAAACAGTATCGTTTTCCTCACGTTTAACGAGCATATTGCAGATGTTTATACGTGCCGTCAAATGAACTTCTTTAGTTCATGAGGAACCCAAATATTGAGCTTGCTTACGTATTACAGCTTCTTCAAGTGGTTGTGAACACTTGAATGATGGATGTTCAATGTTTCTGCAATCTTTTGTGTCGTGTAATGTGGGTTTGACTCAATCAATGCCTTTATTTTGTCATCATCAACCTCGGTGGGCCTCCTTGACGGAGTAGTGTCATTGAGATAAAAACCACCAGCATGGAATTTCGTGAACCATGGTTGGTGCTGATGTTCTTGTAGAGCATTGTCACTGTAAACTTTATGCAACTTTTCACAAGCTTGATGCGCATTCTTCCCTTAATGGAAGTAAAACAGTAAAATATGGCAAAAATGCACAGTTTAGTCTTCCATCTTCAATGTGTTGTAAAATCTCCAAAACTCAACCAAATCGCTCAATTTTTTTTAGAATGAAGCTAGAACTTCATTTGTCAGCTGTCAAATGACATAGCAATAACATAGATGCGAATGACTCCAGTACTTCCAAAAATGAACTAGTGAACCAATGCCATCTCTTGCAAACATGCATCATGACTTTTCCGAAGACCCAATAAATAGACAAAAGGACATCAGCCAGCTCTCTCATCAACGCAGTGGTTACATGATGGAGTAGTAATACATGGACTCCCACTCACCAAGGCTGACCTAGCTCCTTCTGGCTAGTATCCAGTGTGTCAGCAATAAAGACCAATGTTCCGTGCTGACATAGCACCATTCTTTGAGGAGATTGGTGGCATGTTGATTACATTGGAACCCTACTACCCTGGAATGGACACCATTTATCTTGACTAGAAATGTCACATAATTCAGGTGTGAGTTTGACCTAGTCATCACTACAGTGTTTGGTGCACCAACAAACACTCCTATATAATACCATGTCAGACCAAGGGACACTTTTCAGCAAAGGAAGTCATGTGGTGGGATGTGGCCATGGAATCCACTGGTTCTGTCACTTACCATACCCAGAAGCTGCCAACCCGATAGACATACAGATTGGCCTAGTGCAAAGGAAGCACTAGTTTAGAGATGATATCTGGTAAGGATACAGCACCATCCTCTAGGATGCACTGTCTACTCTCATCAGTGATGATGACATGTTGTTTTGTTTGCAACAGGAAGAATACACGAGCCAAGGAAGATATGAGTGGAAGAGGAAGTGGATTCTCTGATTGTCACTCACAGTAACCCACTTGGGAAATTTACACTTTTCCTCTACACCACTCTGGGATCTCTGTGTTTAGAATTACTGGTTTTCAAGAGCGAACAATTCCAGCAAAAGTCCCATTAAACTTTAGACTATAATTCACATCTAGGGCTCCTGGTGCTAAGCGATAGGCAAAAAAAGGAGTCACCATCTTCCCAGGAATAATAGTCTGTAATCATCAGGTGGAGGTAGGGATATAAGGAATGTGTAAAACTGTATCCCACATGAATCCATGGAGCGTCTCTTGGTCCTCCCTTGCCCAGGGGAGGACAAGTGCTGTAGTGAAAGTCTGAGAAGAGCCTGGAAACCAGGGACTCAGACATTTTAGGGATGAAATTCTGAGTCATCTTAGTGTGTTAACTATCTAGACCAGTAGAGGTGTTAGCTAAATATGAGGGGAATTTAGAAAACAATAGAGGAAGTTACAATGAGAATCACTTCCAATGCTGAAGCCAGCTACAGTGGTTGTGGCTGAAGTTTGTTCACTTCTTCTTGTAAGTTTCCTTAATAAGAGAGACTACCCAGAATCCAGGATTTGCTGCTCTAAGAAGTTATTATATGAATTAAGTGGGTCTGAGAGATGCCAGGGGTGGACTGAAGTGGACGTGTTACTCAGATTCACCTACAGGGCTGACGTGCATATCCCCACCTGCTGTACATGGTGTCTGTAGGCTCTCAACTGAAACCCTAGTTAGGTATTTTCCTTTGCCGAAGACAGCATCCTTACTCATAGGCCCCTTTCTTCCCCAGGTGCATCCTGCATGTAATGATTGGCGAACGTGGAGATACAAGGGTCTAGTCTTCCTACCTCAATAAGAAAGGGCATTTCAGACTCAGAGCTTCCTCTAGAATAATCTGTGGCTCTGTTACCACTGTGTGTGGTTCAAATTCTTCCTTTGCCAAATCCTGCTGCCATTATCCACCATAATATTGAGAGCCCTGTCCAGCAAACCTCGTACATATGTAAGAGTCTCAGATTCTGATTCCTAGGAAACCCAACCTATGAGAAAAGGGTATGTATTAGTTAGGGTAAAGGCTAGGCTGTCGTATCAAGGAGACTTAAACATAAAACGGCTTTAATAAATACAATGTTACTTCTCCGTGATGTAATAATCTGGATGGTCTAGGCGGGCAAGCAACTCTGTTCTATGTGATTTATTCAAGGACCCAGGTTCCTTCTATTCATTGATTCACTACTTCTTTGGATATTGTCTCATTTAATAGGCTGAAGCTGTTTTCCCACTTTGTTCCAGGTCATGTGAAGGGGAAAAGATCATGGAAGAGCCATATCTGTTGATTTAAAGCACAGACCTTCTGCTCACATCACGAGCACTTAATCACATGTCATACCTAGCTACTGAGGATGCTGGGAAATGTAGTTTCTAATTTATGAGCCTCGTCTGAACTCTGTTATAGAAGAAGAAGAGGACAGGGTTTGGTATATTAAGTACTTCTGGTACAGGTGAGGAGGCTAGGGTGGGAAGCAGAAATTATTCCATGTATGAATAGAGTGCTAAGCTAAGGTGCTGGAAGTTGCTTCTGAAAATTGTAGAGAGCCATTGATTAGGGCAGGGATTGGATAATGAATAATTTTCAAGAGAGAATTTTACCTGTTAGATAAGCTAAACGACTATATTACTCTTCTTGTGGAAATACTGTTTTGTCATGGCATCTTTTATGAATAGATGTGATCTCTTGCCTCAACATAGTTGATGTTTCTGCTTCCTACCTCCTCCTCAACTGAGGAAAAACTGGATAGTATTCTGTCAGAACAACTGGGAATGAGTTATTCTTAGCATTTTTTGAATGAAGAGTGAACAGAGTGTTTTCCTTCTCCTTATTCCCCCAAAGCACCCCCAGGGTCTAAGGGTAAGATTTAGGGCAAAAAACAAAAACGTAGAGCATCATCTGCTAAGAGATGGAATGGGTAATATGGAAGAAAGAGCACTAGAGTCTTTGGGTCTAGTTAAGAGACCTGAGCTTGGCCTCACACTCTGGCTCTGTCTCTAGATTTATGACTTTTCCCAAATTGCTTGGCTTCTCTGGCGTTCACCTCTAAATTAGGTTGTTGGACAAAATAAGCTAGAAATTTCCCGTCAGCTTAAAAACTTACTTGAATTGGCATTAAAACTGAAGTTTGGAACCAGGTAGAGTTGGAGCTCAAGACATGTTTGTGAAATTTAATTAAATTTTTCATTTTAATTTTAGCAAAGTAAATCAATGCTTGACCTTCAGCCCACACGGGAAGCCCACTCCCGCTAACATCACAACAGCAGCAACAACAAACAACAAGCCCAGTGAGCACTCTGTGATCTCTACTAAACTGTCTGAGGAGGTGAGGTTTATTTTTATCTGCCTATTCCAGATGCCAGTTCCATTGAATGATGAGTAAAGGGAGCATTCCAAGAGAGGCCCCTGGGCAGCCAGTGACCACCTGGAGTCTATCTCATGCATCACAAATATCTCATACATCACAAAGAGGACACAATCAGTGGAACATCTAATGTATTCTTTTCCTTATGGTGTTTGAATGTCTATGGCAAAAGGATTTTGGGAGATTGGCATTGAAACTAGGAGCAAACCAGGCATGTCTGGGTTGGCATTCGGTTTGGGCAGCAGAGCACGTTCTCAGGTTCATGCAGCTGTCTTGGGACCTGGTTCCGCTGTTCAGGGCCTGGTTCAGAGAGGAAGAAAAGTGGTTATGGTCTGTGATGGCAGTGACTGAAGGAGCCAGCAGGGGCAGGGGTGAGGACTGTGGCAGAATGCAGTAGACTAAGCTGGGAATTCACCAGAACACCAGGGCTCTCATTTGCATAAAGAACCCCGTGACCTCCTCTGACCATTTGTGGCCCTGACACCTCAATTTCTACCTCTTAAAAACTAAAGTAGCACCTGTTAGAGGTCCAGCCTTAAGTGAGTTTAGAAAACCCTAGCTGTTGACTGAATGGCAAGCATTATATATATTTGTGATTAGAATCAATGGGCAGCAAGGTGTGTGCACAAGCAGGCCACTCTTTGATGGCAAATCCTTCCTTTTCAGATATTTGGGAAAGGCTGAGTTACTTATGAAGTTGTATTTCCCCCAGATTAGTGGTCACATCAGCACTTAAAATGCTAGCAGGGAGAAAGAATCAGTATCATGTTTGTCTTTAAAATGGGAGACGTAGGACACCTGGCCCTCTGTTAATACTGGGACACTGTACAAGAGTCAACTGGGGCACAATACAGTTCTTATTCTGAATCGGAATCCATCTGTACGCTACAGTAGGAAGACAAAAGCGGATTGTTAGCACTTAAAGGCACCTTGACAGAGTCATACCGCTTGACTCTTTTATTAATTGCCCCATCTGCTAAGTGAGAGCTCTCTGACACAGGTTGGTGCAGAACTCTTAAAGCCCTTAGTCTGCTTCCTATTGGTTCCACATGTGTTTGCATTTGTTCTCAGTAGGCAGGGATTCCAGAGAGAAAATGAACCGCTGCAGATCGATTGCAGTATCAGTCATGCAGAAGACATGGTGCAGCGTGCCATTTGATTTTGATCTAGTTTGAACCCTTGCTAGGGGTTGCCCTGGCTCCTTGACTTCTATTTACCTCAGTTTGTGTTTGAAGTCTCAGATGCTAAAAGTAAGAGAAAAGGCAGTACTGTAATGCCCTCATTTTAGGGAATCACAGCATTTCCCCTTTAAGTCACTCGGTCCTCAAAACCTTTCAGTTTCTGTCAGGGACAGAGCACTAGAAAAGCCAGAAAGCATTTGTGTGTGTGTGTGTGTGTGTGTGTGTGTGTGTGTGTGTGTGTGTGTGTGTGTGCTGCGAAAAGATATGCCTTGTTTATGTAGACAATGATAATTTCCAACAAAACTACATTGACAGCACTGGCAGAGCCTGGGCCTAAACTGACAAAAGACAGACCAACCAAACTCAGTGGTTTACTTAGGCGACCATTCTCCCCAGTATGATTTGTCTTTGTCCTTCCCTTTCTTATGTTGTTTTAAATTCAATGAGATTGAGTTAAGGATGTGGTGTCTATTTCAGCCTCAGCATTGCAGTTTCCGCATTTAGCCTGTATTATGTTACAGCCATCACGATGCTCGGATATTTTTCTATGGACAAGTTGGAGATAGAAGAGAGAAACAGGAAAGGCGTGGCGTCTCCTCTGAAGGTTTTCTGTTGTGGGGTCTGGAAGTTGCGTGTGTGTGTGTGTGTGTGTGTGTGTGTGTGTGTGTGTGTGTGTGAGAGAGAGAGAGAGAGAGAGAGAGAGAGA